ATTTTTTGTTTTTGTTTGTTTGGTTTTTCAGTGGAAGTTATCAGAATATTTTATAAAGTTTTATGCTTTAAAATAAAATAAACAAATTTTCTTTTAATGGGGTAACCTTAAAAATTCTTTTTTTCTTTAAATCCACAAATAATTATTGATTCATTACCTTGCTACTTCTTTTTCCAGAGGCCACAATCAGAGGATGGAGTTTCTAGGTGATTCCATCATGCAGCTAGTAGCCACAGAGTACTTATTCATTCATTTCCCAGACCACCATGAAGGACACTTAACTGTGAGTGTGTGTTCAAGTACTCCCCCTAGTAAATTTGCTGTATAATAGAGAGTGAGGATTAGGAGGCCCTAATACATATTTATTTAATCATTGCTTTAGTTCTTGATGTCTGTGTTAATCATGAGGAAAGGGGACAGGGTTTATTTTGACTCAGAGTTTCAGAGGTTTTGCTCATGGTTGGCTGGCTCCATAGACAAGGCAGAGTATCATGGTGGGGGAACATGTGGCAGAGAAGGCTGTTCATGGCAGCCAGAACGCAGAGTGAATGGAAGGGTTTGGGGTCAAAGCCATGCCCCTCATTGCACCAAATGCTCATACGTTGAAGGCTTGGTCCCCAGCTCTATATAGAGGCAATTGGGTTGGAAGAGGCCACATCAGGGGTGATGGTGATTGGATAATATGGGCATAGGGGCACTAAACTCATCAATGGATCAGTCCACTGGTGAGTTCTTAGCTGAATGGGCTTTCAGGAGCTGGGATCTTGTTGACTTTAGCATATTATATGGCTTTGTTCATTTTGTTCTTAAATTGTATATAATGTAAATTTGTGATGATAGTTCATCTTAAGGTTTTTTTTTTTTTTTTTTTTCATTTAATGTTTACCTACTCTGTGCCAGACATTGAGCTAGATCTGATCAGAGAAGAAAAGATGAGTTGACCTAGTTAATTCCATAATGAGTTCTTTTTGTTTTGTTTTTGTTGTTTTCTTTTGGCCTCCCTATAGCCCCAGCTGGCCTGGAACTTGCTACGTAGATCAGGCTGGCCTTGATCACACCAAGATCCTCCTGTCTCTGCCTCCTGAGTGCTGGGACTAAAGGTGTGCACCACCACACCTGGCTTCCATAATGAGTTTTAAAAACTACTAGAAGAGACTAAAGTGTGCAAGTAACTACATAATTTATAAAGCAAAAATATTTGTTTGTGTATCTGCATATAAATACACATTATAAGAAGTATAAGTAACTATGCAAGATGCAAGGTACGATGTGTTAGGTATTAAAAGAGGCGCAGGAGCATTGTGCATGCTTATTTCAGAAAAGATTTCTTTTTAGTTATGGGATGCAAGAAGGCTTTATATGGCTTTCATGATGTTTGATTGGGGAGGGGGTCTTTTTGAGACAGGGTCTCCCTGTAGCCCCAGCTGTCCTGGAACTCACTATGTAGACCAGGCTGGCCTTGAACTCAACAGAGATCCTCCTGCCTCTGCCTCCCAAGTGCTGGGATTAAAGGCGTGTGCCACCACACCTGGCAATGTTTGAATTTTTAAAGATTGGTAGGAATTAGCCATTGGTGTTAGTGGAAGGCAGTTTTTGTGCAGTGGCTTCCCTCATACCAAAACCAGAGAAACAAGGGCATGGCATGAAAAAGCAGGACTGAAAGACAACAGAGACTCATGTCTGCTACATGGTAGAATTGAAAGGGAAACACAGAAACAAGGTTTGATTTTAAGCAAAATGACCACTATTCCTCCCACTTGTTTCATTTAGTAAAACTTTTTTGAACTCTTCTATGTTCTGCATATTCTTTTGACTCTATGAAACTTATCAGTAATATGTATATCTCAAAGCCAGTCATCATGATCTCTGAAGCATCTTTGGAACAGTCTGCTGAGAACTAGGTATTGGGAAAGCAGATACCTTATTCAAAGGAAAATAGTGGTATACTATAAAGTGCTTTTAAATGTGGTCTTTATTATGATGAAACAAATAGGAAGCTTTTCATACTTGACATCTTTACAGTTTTTATTCATGTTTTTCATTGAATAGAATTAAATCTTAGTTCTATGATTGTGATCCCTAGTAATAGTTTATGCAAGACATTAGCAAGAACACAGATGTAATTTTTCAGTGGCATTTCTAAAATCAGTATTTCATTTACTCAGTGAATGCCGAGCCTCTACTGTGTACCGCATACTACTATGTACTGTGATAAGTGCCAAGGAGTCAGTAGTACCTCTTACTTTGGTTCTAAATGAACAGTTTGATTACCATTTAAAATTAATTGCTTTTTGACAGAAGTAAAGAGTGCTTCTTTCTTGAGTTGATATTAAACTTTTTAGAAACACCAACCTTTCTGAGGAGTAGTGTCTCATATTTTACTTAAGAAAACTAAAATTACTTGCTCACTGGTCTCCATTAGGGAATAAACTTCATAGATGTCAAAAGTATCTGGTTGGTTTGAGAAATAGACAAACCAAGCCAAAAAGCTTGAAGTAATAATTCATTTTAGACCTCTGATGAAAATATGTGGCTCAAATTGACATCCTCTCCTCCCTGGTATTATCCAGAATTAATTGGGAGCTCTAGGATCTTATGGGATGGGGTGTTGTATATCAACATTATACTGGTTTCTACCTGTTTGCAGACACACTGTCCCCTGCTAACCCCAGCATTGAATAGATAATGAAAAACTAAAGCTCAGAAAGACATGAGTCCTGCCCTTGATCTAGATGAAACAAGAACCAGTACAGCACTGAAGATTCAGGTGCTTACTTCTTTCCACAACTCAGTGCTAGGAATACAGTTGCTTTCATTTTTGTTATTTTGAGATAAAGTTTTGCTCAGCCTGGTTTCAAACTCATGGCATTCTTGCATAGTCAGTGTGAGACACCATACCCTGCCCTGGTCTAAAAGTACGGTTTTGCAAAATGAGTTTATTAGCCTTGCTGTCTTAAAATTAGTTTTTCACTAGAATGGTATTAACAAATGATAAAGTTATGATACAGTGGTTTTATGAAGTATTGTCACAAAGAGCTTTGTTAAAACTGAATAGGGCCAGGGCTGGAGGGATGGCACAGTGGTAAGAACACTTGCTGTCCTTGCAGAGGACACAGCACCCATATGGCAGTTAACCATCTATAACTCCAGTTCTAGGAGATCTGGCACCCTCCTCTGACCTCCATGGGCATTGCATACAATGCATGAGTGCATTTACATATATGCACACAAAACATTCATACACATAAAAAATTATTTTAAATGCACAGGGCCAGTAGATCATTTGACAAGCGAAGATGACCTGTCGTAAGTTAAAGCACATATTTTAAAGACTGCTAAACTTTGACACAGTTACTCCATCTTTCTAGAAACAGCATCTCCATTTGCTTCTGTCATACTATGTTTTCTGGATTTCTTTTTTTTTTAAGATTTTATTTTTATTTTTTTAATTATTTAATTAATAACCACATAATTAGAAGAAGCATTTCATTACAACAACATTGACATATTCAATACCAATTTCCAGAGCTAAGATGCATCTCCTTCAAAATTGGCTGTAAATTTTTAGGTTTACAGTTGAATTAATACAG